GGTCTATAAAACCCAGAAATCATTCCCCCCCTCCCTTCCATTCTGTCATTGAAAGGACAGCCCTGTTTCTTGAGCCAAACGAAATAGTTGGTAGGCTGCCATCACAGAGCAGACCTGCTAAAATCAGAGAGCCCCATGTTAGTCCCACCTGAAACAAAACGATTCTTAGGCTAGGCCACTTTTTAGATCCTGTCAAGAAGAGTGCAAATAAAGTCTGCTGGTTCTTGCTGGGAACAGATGTTGGAGCACACCTGCAATAATGCCTGCAGCATAATGATCTGCTTCTAAATGGGTGACTGGAAGGTTCACCTGTCAGCTAATATGTGCCTAGCACCATTGTTACAGTTCCATTAGTTCCATTCCGTTCCATTCTAGCCCAGTCCAGTCTGTTCCATTCTGTTCTGCACCTGGCATTTCTGTATGATTCAGCAGATTTGTACTGCTGACCCATGCTCTAACAAAATGTTAGGCCATGATTCATTACTGGAATTGTCTCCTATTAGAAGGCACAGAAAAATGATGCTTACTAAACCTCATTACCCTTTTACAGTTTAGGGGGATGGTTTATGTTATTAAGATATGTCTTTTTAGAATGCCTTTTATAATGCATTGCATCTTTCTCGTCTCTCTACTCTGATACGAGAAGCACCAGGTTTAGGTAGTAACTGAGAGTGGCTAAAGATTGTTTCAAACCATTTTAAAGGACTCAGATGACAGAGGTGATGGTCAAGAGTGCTGGTGCAGTTATACTAAGGATGGCTGATCCTACCCTTTAACAGGGCACAGTTTTCCTGGTACTTTGATGTCTTTTTTTCAGTCTTGCTAATCACTAAAGTGATTCTTCTTGAAAAAAAACATTCAAGTGTTGATTTGAGGATCAGGGCCACAATATAAAAGAATGTGTTCACTATACCACTGCTTACTGCAAACCCTAAGTTTTAGGCTTTCAACTGTCCCCTGGACAGGGAAGGGGACTGAACTTCAAAGGGTCTTATGCCACTTCGTCCATCTTTTTTTTATTTAAGGGCAGGAAGTATTGATGCCTTTTATTTTTATCTCAGCTAATTTCCTATCTTTATTAAAAGCTAACTGGATGGTAGTACCGGGGAGGTAACAGTGGGGACCTTTATAGAGCTCAAGGCTACTCAGCACAGAGGTGAAGAGAAAGTTTTTTCAGTCTGAGAAGTTAGAGAACATTTGTTATATGATTCAAATGCAGAGAAGGCATCAATCTTCACTTTTGGTGATCCGTGGGTTATCTCTTACAGCAGTCTGAGAGGATCCTCTGTGGCTCTGTAATACTACACTAATGACAACATAGGCAAGGAGAAGACAGAAGAGAGATTTCATAAATAGGCCAAAAGCTCCAATACAAAGCTATGTTATGAAGGACAAATGTACTTTCATAAAAGAGATAAAAAAAGCTACAAAAGGACACTGGAATTAGATTGCTTCAATATATTACCACTAGACAAGTTGGCTAGATTAGTATCAGTGTCGGTAAAACTCTTCTCTGAACCTGTTAAGATTAGCACAGATTAATACAGGAATGCATGTGAGGGTAATAAGCTCTTCTTACAGAAACTTCTTCAGGGTATGTTGTACTGTTGGCCTCATACACATTCTTTGATAACATTAGTATCTAGCTGTCATGAAAGTGGTATGCAATTTCCTGCTGTTTTTGACATGATATAACTTGGCCTACAGGTCAGGGTAGTCATGGCCTCTGCTGTCCTAGCAGACATGAAAAGGAGCTTTGACATGATTGCTGGTGGTGCTGGTAGCAGGCAGGGGCTGGGTGTTTCTGTCAGTGACCTTGTCATGGCTCTCATTCTGGTTGCTGATGAAGCCTGTGGGGTAGATATGTGGCTGGAGCAGCTTTCTCATCTCTCTTACTGTTTCACAATGGAAAGAAATGCCATAGGACCAAACCAGTCCTTTGTATCTCTTTCTTTGCTGGAACTGTGTTTTACTTCTTTCTTATGTTCACTCATGTATCTATGGGGCACTTCTGGCCTTTTTTTCCTGGAGCCCTGGTGAGTTCAGTGAAATAGGGACTTTAAGCAGTCAGCATTTTCCTTACACCAGATAGGAAATTACATGAAGTACAGAACAAAACACCTTTTCCTAAAGATACAATTTTAGTACCCCTTTTGGGATGACCGTGGACCTCAGATCCAGGCTCCTTGGTGTACGACCCAGCTGTGTTTGTTTCTATGCTGCAGGGACACCTATACACCTAAACTTCAAGCCCCCCGTCCAACCTCTCTTTCTCTTTCTACTTGTGGAAAGAAAATGGTGGTTTCAGAGCAGGGCAGGGGCTTCACTGTGTTCCTCAGAGTGCCTGCTTGGTGTGCACTCAAGGATCAGGTCCTGGGATGTGTCAGTACAGCCCAATAGCTAAATAGCAGCGCAGGTTTTACAATGCATGAAGTACTGTTTGCTCACACCGGCAGTCCAGTCATGACCTTTGTGGCCCTGGAAAACACCAAGCACCAACCTGACTGTAGAGACAGAGAATTCATTTAACTGAACAAATAAGGGAATTGAACACGAAGACCATCAACATCTGAAAGACCAGCCTATGCAGCCAGGAGTCCTCCAGCTGGAAGGTGAAGCCACTGCTGGGTTTTCCCAAGAGAATCCAAAAACTTGCTCCTGTACTCCTTTACTTAAGATACTTATTGGGTGGAGGCATGCTGATTGGATGTCCCTTCAGTTACTCACTTGTCAAACCATAATGCCTACAGCTACTTGCTGCAGCAATATAAAGATAAACTTTTTTTGAATAAGAAAAAAAAAATATTTTTCATTTCGTTCTCTGACATAAATAAACTACATCTCTATCACTACCCCAGCTTCCAGGCAGGTATTTTTTCTGCAAACGTTGTAAATAAGGGAGTAGACGCTTGTACCAGAGTTTATGCCTGTGGTGCCTTGTGGAAGAAGAATCCAAAGGCTGATTCATTATTTATATGTGAGACCTGTGGCATTACTCTGAGGAATAACAGCCAATCCATGCAGTCTGATGTGTGATTTATTTCCTGTAATCATGTATTCAGCTGATCTACTGAGTCCTACCAGGGACAGTGAGAACTTTTGTAAAGGCAACTAAGCTGGGCTGCAAAGGACTTTATTAAAAGTGAACATACAGACGGATTTGGAAATGGGAAGAGAAACAGAATTTAAAAAGAGACTATAATAAACAAATAAAAAAGGATACTGCAAGAGAAAAAATTGTAAGTGAGAAGAGCAAAATACCTGCACAGTTCTTTATAGATGTAGTGATATTGAAAGAAGTAAAATTGTACTTTTAGATATATGATTTTCAGGGTCTGCAATGGGAAAAGCAAACGATAACTGAAGGTAACTAACTTAAGTTAACTAAAGATGACCTAGGAGAACTAAAACATGTTTCACATTAAAGAACAGAAAGAAAACTGCAGATGGGCATCCTCCATTCATTTCTTTTGGGCACAGCAAAGAACTGTGAGCTCGGATTTGGCACACAGGTGAGACACAGCAGGGAGCATTGCTGTTCACTAGCTTGCATTATCAGCTCAGATCTGACAGCTGTACTTGAGCTTAGTTTGCTGCCTCTAGTTTGTAATAATCTGAATTTTCTTTCTGGTAGTGGGAGAAGGGACATGCAAAGTTCACCTCCAGACTATAACTGCATAATGCTAGAGGAGCCATTTTACTCAAACAAAAATGCTTTTCATGGTCTCCTTTGGTACAGAGAATATTTGTACGTAAGAACATTTCATACAATGGCCCAGGTTATTCAGCATCCCTAGAGTAAAACTAGTAGTAATAACAGAGGAAGCTTCTGTGGAATATAATAATAAGAAATATGGATTTAACTGCATTATAAAGATAAACTCTATCTGAACATTGAAAATACAAAAATGGCACAAGATACAGCAATAAACTTTGTGGTTTTTGGTGGCGCTTCTTTTAAGAAAAATGCTATAGGTTAAAAATAAGCATTTGAAGCTGTTATATACCACAAAAACCTCCCATCCTCCTAATTTGTGGAAAGGTGGTGGTTTGGAGGAGCAGGGAATTCTTATTTCAAGTTAACTTCAAATGCTGCATGGTATTTGACTGGCGGGTTAGTGGATAACCATAAAGGGCATTTGGCAGTGTCAGGAAGGTGTGCGCTTTGCATTCCTCAGTCAGTGTGCAGAAACAGAGCCCATTAGCTAAAGAAAAGACTCTCACTGATTTTGCCACCTTTTGGATAAGGCCCAGAATGATTGTTGGTTACCTGACCGCTAGACCCACAGAGGGACTTCAGCCATTCCAATAATGAGCAGTGAGTTTACCAGCTCTTAGGCCCTGTGAAAACTGAGGGAATTCACATCCATGTCAGGAAGCCCTGGCTTCTGGCATGAGGCACTGTGCACTCCTTTAGTGTCTGCACTGAAATCTTTATTCCAGCAAGGGGGCTGGAACACAAACCTTTTTTGCTTTTTCTCCCCTTCCCCAAATTACTTGAATTATATCTTCTGTTTGTGGTGTAACAGGCTTGACTGTATGTTCTCTGAGTTTTGTAACAATGTGGTTTTCATTCTTGCAAAACGATAACTGTGAATGTAAGAAAGACAAATGCTTATAATAGTAAAAAGCCTCCCACTCCAATAACAGTCTTCTTTCACCTATTTGGAGTACTATTGGAGTATGAACTTAGTGAGTACTAGGAACAGCAGAGAAACCAAAAAAGAGATGTTTTGAAAGGAGCATGCCTGTGCATTTTCCCCTTTAATATTATGAAAAGCTCATCATGGATTTCAGGTCAGAATCACTGTTCAGTTAGAAAGACAAGACAAGACCACTAGATGGTGGTAAAACCCCAAGCCTTTGATAAAAACCTGTGAAAAGAGAAGTTCAGAGGGGCAAAGAAGGGGAGGAGGAGCCACAGTTTGAGTACTGAAGTCATTATTGCTCGGAGTCTATAAAAAGGCACTTGCACAGTAAGTGATTTATACGTGGTCAGCCTTGACTCTATGGATTTACTCATTCCTTTTCTTCTATTTTTGTCATCTATTCCAACCAAGGAATCCCCAGCCCCAGATGTCGGGTGAGGAGGGGGGCTGAAACTTCTGCTCTCTAGAGGAAAGGTTGCAGGCAGTGAAGAGGAAGAGCAGCAGAAGGAGCAACTCTGGTAAATAGGTACAGTTAATTCTTTATTGCAAATAAAAGGTTACTTTTAGAAACTGAAAATTGTTTAGCTTGATCTTAAGGTCCTTCCCAACCCTAACTATTTTATGATTCTATGATATGCTTTGAGTTTTATTTGCAACAAGTCACTGACAATCAGCTTTAAGTGTTCCCCTGGTTAAGAATCTGACAGCTTACAATTTCCCTGAATATTGTCATTACCAGGAAAGCACTGAATAAAATACTCATGATCTGGAACAGAAAAGTTATTTTTTATGACAGAATTTCACCAATACTAATTCTGTAACTTTAGCATATTCTGAAATGTATGGATTTGCCTTGGTTAGCTTTTTAATACTATGCTTTTAAGTGAGCATGTTAGTTTTGCACAGATAAGCTGTTTATAACACAGTTCATGTGAACTTAAGAAGTACAAAGGTCAGGAAAACATTCAAATCTTTTACTGAAAATGTTCAGTTCTTAATTGTGGCAATAATTCAAACTTCTATATATTATATTCAAGCAAGCAGGCTATGCCAAACCTAATAGTATATTGTCCTGCATTTCTGGGTTCTGAGAATTGGAACATAGAAAACTGTTTGTTGTTTGGTGTTCAGCAGAATTTCCAGGACATTCTGGAGATACTCCAAGGGACCACACTGAATAAATAAAACTATGAACAAAGAGTACATTAGTCTCTTCATTAGTTTGTGGTTTTAATTTCCCAGTAAGGATGGGTACTAAAACTGAGCCAATCAGAGGTTAATGTGGAATCAGTGAGGAATATGGTGTGGAAGTGGCAGGATGTGTGCAAGCCAAATTACATAGAAGTGGGTGATATTTGTCAACTTCTGCCTGTTCTCATCATGCTATATTTTCTTTGGCAGAGCCTTTTGCCTTCTGGAAAATGCATTTACAGTGCTCCTTGACAAGTCCCTCAGAAAGAACAGAACGTGTTTACTTCCAGAGATGAACACATCCTCTCAACTGTATGTTTCTGAACTAAACCTGAGTGCCTTTGGTAACAACTTTACAGTGCCTACTGTCAAGAGCCAGTCGTCACCATGTGAGCAAGTGGTTATTGCAGCTGAGGTGTTCCTAACTCTGGGCATTGTAAGCCTCCTTGAGAATATCTTAGTTATATGTGCAATAATTAAGAACAAGAACTTGCATTCACCCATGTATTTTTTTGTTTGCAGCTTAGCAGTGGCTGACATGCTGGTTAGTGTGTCTAATGCTTGGGAGACCATAACAATATACTTAATAAACAACAGACACATAATTATAGAAGATGCCTTTGTTCGTCATATAGACAATGTCTTTGATTCAATGATCTGCATATCTGTGGTGGCTTCCATGTGCAGTTTGCTGGCTATAGCAGTAGACAGATATATAACTATCTTCTATGCCCTGCGTTATCACAACATCATGACAGTGAAAAGATCAGGGCTTATTATTGCATGCATCTGGACCTTTTGCACGGGCTGTGGCATTATCTTCATTCTATATTATGAATCAACTTATGTGATCATTTGTCTCATCACTATGTTTTTTACCATGTTGTTCCTCATGGTCTCATTGTACATCCATATGTTCCTCCTGGCTCGCACTCACGTGAAGAAAATAGCTGCTTTGCCTGGGTACAACTCTGTCCGTCAAAGAACCAGCATGAAAGGAGCCATCACTCTGACTATGCTTCTTGGCATCTTCATTGTTTGCTGGGCTCCATTCTTCCTTCATCTCATCCTGATGATCTCCTGCCCTCAAAACCTCTACTGTGTTTGCTTCATGTCTCACTTCAACATGTACCTCATTCTTATTATGTGCAACTCTGTGATTGATCCTTTGATCTACGCCTTTCGTAGTCAGGAAATGAGAAAGACCTTCAAAGAGATAATTTGTTGTTACAGCCTGAGGATGGTCTGTGGGTTATCAAACAAGTATTAAGCAAACAAAACCAAACCAGGGAAGAGAATGGAAATGCAACATCTTGCCACATCTTGTAATTATGCTGAAATGCCTCTGGAATATCTTTCTCCATTCAGCTGTCATGATTTCTGTGGCAATCGGAAAGCATTTTTTAATATGTTTTTGCCTTTCTTTCCCTCCACATGCCTCTTTCACACTGGTGGCAGGAGCTACTCAGTGCCCTTGTATTATGGGGAGAAAGAATACTTTGATTCTCATTTACCCTACTGAAGACTGGATCTTTTAAGAGGATTGTACAGGGAAAGCCTTGTTTTTTCTTCTGCTAAATGCAATGAGTGTGACCTGCTATGCAAATGACCCCATTAGCCTCTCAGTGTGTTTCTCTGATACTCGTTGTCTTTCAAGATACAACATGGTTTATTTTGCTGCCCAGAATTAACAGGGTTTTTTGTTATTTCCTTCTGAAGATGTAAAATGTGAGAAGTAGCTCTGATTATCAGAGTTTACATACCTTGCTTAACAGTTATGACCAATGTATATACACGTATCAGCAATCTTGTATTCCAGTCATGATTGTTACTGTCATAAAATATGTATTATCTAAGAGAATAGTGTTATCATGAGGTTCCTGGTTGGATACAGTACTTTGTCATGTCTGACTATATGTATTCTTATCACTGTGGGGTAAGATGTACCATAGGTGGATTTTAAGGCTGAATATGAAGACTGGGCAGATTCTAGTTTCTCTGTTTTCTTTGTTCACCACAGCTAGGAGAGTAAAGGGTACATGGCCTCTACATAGTCATGTAATGTTTTGTGGAGATGGAAAGACTGGATGGGTGGCTGCCTTTATACAGATATTAGAAAAGCGTTTCAGCTGAGTAGCTGTTCTTATTGGAGAAACCTGTACTGTAGATTGCATTTTTCAAGCTGGGAGAGACAAAACAAGTTTGATGATCAGAAGACATAGCAGGCAAAACAGGAATTTCAAAACCTCAGGCACATGTAGCTGTAACAGAGAGCCCTGACTTTTGCTCCCCAAACAAACATTTTTTGTCTTTGTGGAGATGATTCTAAGGTGAAACTCTCATGCCTTTTGTGTGAGTAATTTGCGTCTAGTCATACTCTCATAAACATGCTGTTCTGCAACAGCTGTGTAATGTACAAAATATTTGATTTATCACAGATGAAGAAAGTGCAACTGTGGCATTGATTTCTTGATGTGACTGGATGGTACATATCTTGAACTGAAATATAACCTATGAAAATATTTCAAGCAGTGATTCCCTATTGACTAAATATTAGAAAATAGCTTGGAAAAATGAATTATTTCTTCTGAAAAGCTGAAAGAATACCCCTTGTTTATTCTCGCTGTTAAACCCTTGGTTTAGGGATGCTCTAAAACTCTTGTTGTTAATAGAAGGACTATGACTCAGTGAGGCTTAGGTTATACCTTCAAGGTGGAAATTCTGATCTGGCATTAGCAAAATTTTTTACCATAAGGGTGGTCAAATTTGGGTACAGATGCCCAGTGGTTGTGCAGTCTTCAACCTCAGAGATATTCAGAACTTGACTGGTTATAGCCCTGAGCAATCTGCTCCAAGCTAAAAGCTGACTCTAACTTTGAAGTTGGCCCTGTTTTGAACAATTAGGAATAGATGATGCACAGGTCCTTTCCAACCAAAGTTTTTCTGTGATTCTAAGAAACAGATTGTGAATTATATTTATAATTTTCCTCCCACCTAATATAATCTCTTTTGTAAGAAGAATTGTAAGATATTCTCCTCCACACATTTAGAAAGATAACAAATGTTATGTCTTCATTTGCTTTGGAAGTCTCTGGCAGGATAACTAAGGTGCATCTTTAGCACTAGAGTTACACCTTTTGTCTGCTGCACCTTAAAGTATATACCACCTCCAGCTCACACACAACTCCTTCTGACATGAGTGGAAATGTTCTCAGTGGAGACACCATACTGCGTTGACTGTAAATATAATGGTTATATCAGTGCACGAAGAGCGGGAATCTTCCTTCAGCTATACCTAAAAGTGGGATTTCAGAGGTATGTTTGTGGTCAGTAGTGACAATCTTGCCCTGTTTCAGTACACCTCTTAATCCTATCCATAAATGGCACCTGAGAGTGAGCTTTTGCTACTATGAATGTCAATAGCAAAAGGAGATGGTTCAATTGCGTAGTGAAAGGAAACAGCTGATGTAAATAAATCATGAAACCTTCACTGGGTATTGCAAATAAGATGGTCTTATACATAATTGTAAACCAACAAAGAGGAAGCCAAAACTGTAATAGCTTTGGGTATTTTCTTGAATTGTACATTACTCTCTTTTTTTGTTGGAAGTTTATTTGACGTATAAACAGACACATATGAAGAAACTATTAAACTGGATTGCTGGAAAACCCGCTGTTGTTCGTTATTCATTGTAATGTGTGTTCTAACCTTATATTCAAAGGGAATATTGCATTACAGGCTTTCACTTCTCAGTTCAAACAGATGTCTTACAAAGAAACACAATATGAGGGTTCCAGACTAATACAATGTATTTACATACATATCTATGTTCCTCTAGGTGTCAGCATCACATCCTCATTATAAGCTTTACAGGTGGAGATGTAAAGTTTAAGGGAGAAATGAAAGTATTTTCAAGAACAGACTAGAACAGCTCCTATTTACACTATAGGAATACATATATGTGCCTCTGTGAGGCCATGACATGTTTAAATTTGTTTCTTCCTCTTGTTTAGCTGCAGAATAAAAGCAACATCTAGCATGCTTTCTCTTCTACCAGAGTCTGGAAAACACTAGGTGTTCTGATAGATTGGGACAAGCAAGCATTGTGTAAGTATGGCATTCGTTGTCAAAAGACAGTCATGAAACAATTAGTTGCTAGGCTGCCATTGCACCATGTAGCTTCTAAGTAGCTCTTACCCTGATCAAAGACTTTTCAGTCTCACATGCTCTGCCAGTGAGGAGGGGCACAAGAAGCGGGAGGGAGCAGAGACAGGACACCTGACCTGAACTAGCCAAAGGGGTATTCCATACCACAGCCATCATGCCCAGTATATAAACTGGGGGGAGTTGGCCAGAAGTGATTGATCGCTGCTCGGGTTGGTCAGCGGGTGGTGAGAAATTGCATTGTGCATCATTTTTGTTTATTCTTTTTTTTTTCCTTTCACCTTTTAGTTTTATATTCACTCTCTTTTTATATCCCTTATCAATATAATTAGTAATATTATATTATACTTTAGTTATTAAACTGTTCTTACCTCAACCTGTGGGTTTTATACTCTTTCACTTCTCCGCCCCATCCTGTCCAGGGGGGTGAGCGAGCAGCTGCATGGTACTTAGTTACTGACTGGGTTTAAACCACAACAGTCTCCAATGCTTTGCTGGGGATTCTCCTGCCTCTCTTGCAGTAAATCCTTCTCTAGCTGGTTAGCTTCTTGCATAGAAGACCAGCTTGTGGTGGTTACTGTGTGTCAGGGATTGCAGTGGACGGTCCCAATCTTCATCTGTGTTGGTTTGTGTGCACAGCGCCCTTCCTATTACACTGAGTGGGTGAAAAAGATAGGGGAAAATGGATGTGGAAATGTAGAGATCCCCGCATTATGGACAGAGTCATGCGTTAAGTCTCTGTGCTAGGTTATCTCCAGCTGAGACGCTTTCCTCGCTTTCCTGCCTTTTTTAATCTTATCATGTATCATAACCTGAGCTGTGGGAATTTTGAATACAGTTTGTTCTTCATACAGGACAGAAAAGAAACAGCTGAGGTATGTATGTGTGTGAATACTTACATACATGCCTACATGTATATGAGTTCTTACTCCCAGACACAGAGTACAATCACAAACAAGCAAAATGTATGTGAGGATGTATAGTTTCTTTTTCTCTAATCTTTCTGCACTTTGTTTTCCAGTTGTTACACTACTTTCCAGTTTGCAGCTTGTTTCTCACAAATTTCTTCCATCTGTGAACAAATTAGCAATGCCCTAAACCTGAAGTAGAAGAACCTCAAGTACCTTTTGCATCTTGAGCTTTTAAAAACTATAGTGAATCAGTGTGACAGAACAAAGAGTTCCCCTAGCACCAGTCACACAAAAGAAATAATAAAATTTAGATTTTTATGGTCCTTAAATGTTATATCTAGAACAGTTTCTTCTTGAGCTACTTGCCTAAAAAGCCCTAAGAGCCTGTGACTGGCTTTACTGAGTACAGAGAGTGAAGGGTCTCCATAAAAAGAAAGAACAGCTGTTTAGAGGAATTACACAAAGCCTGAATAAGAGCATGGTAATCCTCTGGAATACTCTTAGAGCCTCCTGCAAGCTATGGTGTAGGGACTTCTTGGGCAGTAGGTTATATTTACAGCTTTGTGACTGATAGTTTCAGTCAATTCTCAACAAGAATTTACCTAATCCTCTTTGGATCTCTTTATGCTCATCTGCAATATTTTGTGACAGTAAGTTTCACAGTTTAGATATGTTGTATGGAAAATCGATATTCTTTTCTGTTATAAAACATCTACTTGGAAATTTTATTCAATGCATCTGAGTCCTTATGTTGTAAAGGAGAGAAATAATTGGTCCCCATTCCCTTTCCCCGTGCCATTCACTATCCTGCTCCCTTATATTCTCTTATAAAGTTTCTCTTTTCCAGCCAAGGATCCTAGCCTATTTAATCCTTACTGGTATTTTCATATCTTGTTGTCCTTATGTCCTAGATCTACTATATTCTTTCTGACTCAGGGAGACCTGACAGGCATATAATAATCCACATATAGGTGAAAACTAAATTTCCACAGTGCCAGACAACATTGTGTGTTTTGTTCTTTATTCTTTTCTTAGCAATGTGTAACAATATACTTTCATTTAGTACAGCATGCTGCATAATTTGGAAAATTTTGAGATCTCTAGAAGAATTCTCTTTCTGCAAATGCTCATAGGAACACATGCTGTCTGTATTCTAAACAGTGTTACATTTTCAATAATGATGCCTTTGGTCAT